GGTGGGTGGGAGGGAGCATGGCTGGATGACAGCCTGGACAGCCTGTGGGTGAGTCGGTGGGCCTCCAGCACGACACCCGGGGTGCTGGGCAGTGAGGGCTGATGGACCACCTGGCAGGAGGCCCTGAGGGCCATGAGGAAGATTCTGGGCCTGCACAGCAAACATGAAACAGGCAATAAGTTGTGACAAAATGCCACCAGCTGCCAAGGTGGGAATCATGGATACTAAACACACTTCAGGTTTCCTCAGGGGGCAGGTCAGCCGCTGGCATGCTGGAAACGCTGCCAGGGGTTCTTCCCTCTTTCCTATGCCTGACTGACAGCCCTGAAGCCAGCAGCTGCTTCTCTGAAGAGGCTGTGGCCAGACGGGCTCTCACCGATGGGCTGGCGCCCTGGCTCCAGGCACTTGCAGACGGGAGAGTTTCCACACACCTCCCGTCCCTGAGCGGGCAGAGGAGGGTTATGACTTCACCTCTGTGATCTCACTGAGACTTGCGTGCTCTGGGAAGGCAAGCTCACTTCTGCTGCCACGGGCGCTGGTGGGGGGGCCACGGAAGCTTCCAGAACACTCAACCCTTCACGGCCTACTTGACGTGTTCTCTGTTCCTTGTGCTTAAATCAGAACTGCCCTCCAGAGAGAAGGAAAGTCACACTTGCCGAGCGTCTCTTTACCAGACACTCTGCCCGGATGCTTGTTTCACTCTCACGGTGGCTCCACGAGGCCAGTGTCATGTGGCTGTTTCCTAGACCAAACCCCGGGCTCAGAGCGCTTCAGGCACTGTAAGCCCGCAGTCCCGAGGGGCGTGCTGGGGATACACCTTGGCGGTCAAACCAGAAGAAATGAACTGTAGCTGTTCCCCTAGGTGTCTGGAAACAGCCTCTGGTTTACAGAGCAGGGTGGGTCTTTTGCGTTCATTTCTCCCCTGGCAGTTGTTCTTTGCTTTACTTGCTAGACTTCCTTGCATTTCCCACATTCCTGAGATTTCACATCCCTTCCTTGGAGCCTCCCTGCAGTTCAGCCAGGATATGAGGCCCAGGGGAGAACTCAGGGAAGTTATAGTCCAGTCGCTGGAATTCACCGTAAGGATGAGCACCATCTTTTGCTTAGATGTGTGTGGCATCGGCTGGCGCAGCCTAGAGTACAAACAATGCACCGGGAGTGCCAGGCCCTAGGAGAACATGGCAAAGGGGATGGGAGACATGCCAATAGCTCACACCAGTCCTGGTGCCCACTGGGCAAACTCATGTTCTCTGCAAGACAAGGTGGGCCAAACAGCAGTGCTCAAAGGGAAGGGAGTTGGAAAGGAAGCAGGGGGGTCAGTGGTGGCCTGGGGAAGCCATTTCCCCAGCCTGGATCCTGCAGGCGGACAGGCCCCAGGGGCATAAGGGCAGCAATAACCCTTCTGTCTCTGGCAAAGGAGTGCGGCCAGGAGGACCGGGGGTGGTGGCGTGCAGGGCCAGAGGAAGAGTGGGCCAACCACAGCCCTTAGGCCCTCTCCGGGTGCAGGAGCACAGGAAGGGTGCTTTGGTCAGGGAGCCAGACAGAAGGCCAGACATGCCCATTACCATGGCCTCATCACCCTTGGGGTGCTCAGAGGCCTCCTGAGAGGGTCTACCTGCCTTTCCAGCCACAACAACAGGACAAAGTCCTGTCCCAGCCAGTGACCCATTGCAGGTGCTGCTGATGACAAGGCAGTCCTGTAGAGGGTGTCTGGGAAATAATGCCAGGACCTAAACCTGTTTTATTTTATTTAAGAAAAAACAACCAACTTCTATAGAGCTTTAGGCCAGGCACTGTTCTGTTCTGTTTGCAAATATTAACTAATTTAATTATCATAACAATCCCATGAAGTAGGTACTAGTATTATCCTCACTTTACAGATGGGGAAAATCAAGTTCCATTAATAACTCGTCTAGGTCCCCACTGAGCTGCTAGGTTGTGGAGCTGTGCCTGCACCCAGCTCATCTGGCTCCACGGCCCGTGAGCTAAGCCAACACACCAAGCTGCCTTCTATTGATGGCCATCAATAGACCTGGGGTGGGAACCCATGGTGAGCACAGAATTGTGCTAAGGAGCTTTAGAGGAACCATTGAAGAAATAAAATTTGCAGCTAAGAGCCAAAGCGAGACAAAGCGGGAACAATTGAATGTTTGCTGGGGTGGTTCTGACCAGAGGGGCAGGAGACTGGAGGTAGAGAGGCAGGTGAGAGTGGGCTGGGCAGAGAGGAGTGTTACCACGCTGTCCAGAGGTCCCCTACTCACACCCACCTCCCTCCTGAACTCCGTGTTCCTGCCAGTGGAGAGAAGCCCTCTCTAGTCTCAAGTCCCCAACATCACGACTGTGGCAGGACTGAGCCGGGTGGGATCCGAGTGGGTCCCTGAGGACAGGAGACTCAGGGCTCAGCCACAGCCGGACTGCAGAGGGAGTGCACGTGGGCATGGTGAGTGAACCCCCATGGCTGGGAGAGTCGGTGTTGGAACCCAGGGTACCCAGACTGCGTAGAGAGGCTGACATCAGTCTTAGGGAGTCTGAAAAGCCAAGAAGCAGCTTGGACTTGATGTAGCAGGAAGGAGGGGTTACAAGGGCTCTGGAGCAGAAGAAGTCCCATAAATAGAGCACTTGGAGTTTTTAATGACAATAGCACAGTGCCTTGCACATTGTAGCTTTTCCCCTGCATGGCATGCTACAACGAAAGCTTTACTCAATTCATTCAGAGAACTGCGGCAAAATAAATCTCAGCTGGAAATTCAGATACAAGCCTCAAAGTATAAAGTCGTATGTAACAAAAAACACTACAAGTAATATAACAATAACTTACAGATACAAACTAATGATAAACTATAATTTCACAAAGGATTGTAAACATTTTGCACACTTGTCAGTCCTTTCTTTTAGGCAAAGTGCTCTTTTGATGACAAATAAATTAACAGATATATACTAGAGTGGACAATTTCCAGACATACCAAAAAAAAGTTTTGATTTGTTTTCTTCTTGTAAACATAAGTTTTACAAAAAAAAAATAAAAAAAAATCAATAAAAGTGTCTTGTAGGCCAACTGTGGGTACATACCTGGGCAGCAAAGTGGTGTTGGAAATGCTTTGGGTGCTAAATAAAAAATTAACATTAATCTTTTCAATGGCATTTTATACATAATAAATGACAGCTTTATACCCTTAATCATGTCTGCCCCTGAAAGAAGAAGTTAGGTATGACTTATTGGCAGTTGTGTCATTAAATGGGCTAACAAAGGCTGGAGTCCAAGAGCTGCTGGTGAGTGAGCATCCATGTAACTATGCAGCGCAGTTAACATTGTCCCATCTTGGGGCACGTAGGTGGAATAAGCCATTTCTTCTAACGTGGGCAGAGAGCCTGGAGGGTGGGACGGATGTGACTGGGCCAGAGAAGGAGTGGTTAGGGCTGACGTGTTTCTCGAGACACGCTCTACAGTTCTGAAACCACACCTATATCACACGTCTGCTCAAGCCTGTCCTTTCTGCCAGTTTCTGGAGGGTCTGTGCATCTGGGTTGTGGTCCTGAGCAAACCGTGCCTGCATAACCTGGAGCTGGTCTGCTCTAAAGCTGGTCTGAGTCCTTTTTGCTGGTTTTGGATGATCACCATCTTTGTCTGTGAGGAGGGCACCAGCAAATGTTTGTTGAACTGGATGGAAAGTTAGGACAAGTAGTTCTGAGTGTGTGTTGGGGTTTAAGTCTGAGCTCGATCTCACATTTGCTTCCTGCACCTAAACAAACGCTTTCCCTCTCAAGTCTCAGCTCCTCACCAGTGAAGTAAAGGGTTGTCCTGGAGTGTCTCAGACCAGCTAGTGAGTGCCTGCCCCTGAGTCTGTGCTCTGAGGGTCAAGGTCTTGTCTGTCTCGCTCTCTGCAGTATCTAGCACAGTGCCTGGCACAGGGTCAAATCCAATGTAGATCCCAGAATGTCTGCTTTGGCCCTTATCATGTGAGTGGGAAGCTGATATATGGAAGCGAGCATCAGGGACAGTCCTGGCCTAACACTATTCTCACTGGAAACGCAGGCCTTGGAGGTCACTTCCCAGATTCGCAGGGCTGGGTCCTGCTTTCCTGTCGGCCTGAGACCTTGGAGACAAAAGCATTCATCCTAGCAGATGGGATGCACACACAGGCCAGAAAAGTCCCCAGAGAGGAGGTGCCCATGTCGGCACCGAGCCCAGCACATGAGATGCACGTGGAGAAATTCAGAAAGTCTCAGCGGGAAGATGAGTTGGTGCTGCTCTGTGCTCGGAGCCGGCGTCCCCTCAGCTCTGTGGACACCGGCTGGGGAACCGGGATGCGAGATTTTGCTATTTGGGAAGACGGGGATCAGGCTTCTCACTTGAAACTGATCCTTTTCATCATAACTATGCTCCTTCATTCACCTCACCCTAACTGAGCACCTATTATGCGCCTCTGGTTTTCGTGGGGAGCACAGTCTAGCGCTGGAGGCCATGGGGTCAGTATCCTGAAAGGGGAACTGTACTTCCCCTGAGGGCTGCCAGCGAACTGGGGGCATAGCTGAGACTGGAAGGGTGGCTGGGCCAGAGGAGAATGGGGAAGGTAGAGGGCTCTGGGCAGAGGCAACCACAGGGGCCCAGCACGGGCCTGGGAGAGGATGGCGCCCAAGTGTTTGAGCAACTGATGGGGAGCCTGGGACCCTGGGGCAGAGGCCCAGGCTGGGGACAAGAGCCAGGCCCACGGGCCTGAAACACGGTGCAAACCTGAGTACAGTGGGAGGAAATGGGAGATTTTAGGTAGGACAGGGCAGGTGTGTGTGTACATGTGTGTGTACGTGTGTGTGTGTGTTCATGAGAGAGAGAGAGAGAGAGAGAGAGAGAGAGAGGGATCAAGTTTAAAATACTGGGATAAATGGTGATGGAAGGAGATTTGACTTGGGGTGGGGAACACACAATACAGTATCCAGCTGATGTATTATAGAATTGAGCACCTGAAACCTGTATAATTTTATTAGCCAACGTCACCCCAATAAATTCAGTATTACAGTAAAAACCCCACTGTGAATGTGGCATGGGAAGTTCGTTGGAGGGAGGAATGTGCGGATACAGAAGGATGCTGAGAAGCACTCGAGAGAGGTGGCGGCAGAGGCCTGTGGAGCGAGAGCCCGGAGCACCCAGGGAGGCACGGGGATGCCCTAGACAGAGGCGTCAGGGAACAACAGCTGCAGGGTCGTGCAGGAGCAGAATGGCTGGGTGGCATTGCATTTAAAGAAGAGGACACTGCGGCTGTGCTGCCCGCTGGGATGCTCAGGAAACTTAGGCTCGATTCTGTGTAGGACCAAATGGACTCCAGGTGCCCGTGGGGCTGCTCCTGGAGGAATGCGAGGGGTCTGCGGCTGGGAGGTGCTCTGGGTGCTGACACACTCCCGAGTCTCACCAGCACCCAGGCGTTACTGAAGGCAGGGGATCTGCTGGGGTTTCTAGAGCAAAGCAGGCGTGTGCCTCAGCTCCAGCCCGAGCAGCCCACTGCTTTGGGGTAGTTGGTGGTGTAGACTAAGGAGGAGGAACCTTTGAATTCAGAGGAGGGTCAGGGCATGGGCACATAGTGTCCCAAAATGCCAAGAAGAGAATGGTTTTGCTCTATGTTTTTTTTTTGTGTGTGTGTGTATCTGAATCATTCCATTAAAATAAATAATACTGACTTTTCAATATATATTTACTGAATTCTATGAAAAAATGAAAGAGAGATCGGCTCAGCTGAATGTTATTGAAGGTCACCGAAGATGAGGCGGTGGGAAGGAGGGGGATCCAGAGCCCCAGGCAGGCCTGGCCGTCGCTGGGGGGAGAGGCAGGGTGGCCAGTGGCCATGGGTGAGGATGTGGGTGGGAACTTCATCTCTTCCCCACCAGGGGGTGGCTTGAAAGTGAGCTGCTGCCCTGGCAGCCGCCTCATCTAGGATGGGAAAGCTGTGGTCCAGAGAGGAGAAGGGACATGTCCAAGTTCTCCCAGCTAGCAAAGGCGGAGCCCACCCTGCATGGCTCTGATTCCAGAGCCCGTGCTCTTCCCACTGGCCACAGTGTATTTGGGACCACAGTCCAGACCTGTGAGGACAGAAGTCCAGGTCCCCCAGGGGGGGACCATGTGCCTGTCCTCACCAGCACCAGGATAATTAAGTCTCAGTTGCAAAATCACAAAAAGTGAAAGGTTTTCCTCTTTCTGAAGGGTCCGGCGAGGTGAGTGGCAACTGGGGGCTTCTGGACCAGGTGGCAGTTCTGACCTGGGTGCAGACCCACATCAGGGTGTTTGGCGGGGACCCTCGACGAGTGACCATGGCAGCCGACCGTGGCGGAGCTGACGTGGCCAGCATCCACCTTCTAACCTTCGGGGCTGGTGGCTCCAGACTCTTCCGGAGGGCCGTGCTGATGGTGAGTTGCCGTTCTAGCCTTGCCTGTTGCAGGTGCCGCCAGGCGAGGGGGTCCTCTCCTGCTCTGAGGCCAGCTGGCTTCCATTGCTTGGTCCCTTTATCCTTGGTTCTGAGTGTGTGTCCTGCTCATGGCCGCCTTTCATGTACCTGTGAGCAGGGTGCTGATGGCTGTCCACTCATATCTCAAGTGCTAGTAATTCCAGGTGGGATGTTCTGTTTCCTGGGGAGTGTTCTCTTTCTTGGGGGTGCCTCGCTAGGGTTTAATGGTCTGAATCTTCATTCCCTTCCTTGTCCACAAAGGGATGGGATGCAGGGTGAGAAGGTTTCTGGTGGAGGGAGGTAATGATGAGGGTACTATTTAGCCAACACTATGCCAACTACACCTGGCAGCAACACCCAAAACAAGAGAGAAATTGAACCAAGAGAACTCTCATCCGCTTCCCAGTGTAGCTTCCCTGGAAGATCCTCTCTGGGTTTGAACTTCAAATCTTCCCTTAAGCTGTCTGGTTTCTTTAATAGCCCATGCTCTTCCCCCACCCCTGACATTCAGTTCTGGTGGCATTTCACTGGGGGACAATATTGGGTGATTCCTGACTCTCACTAATCCCTCCCACTTCATTTATGTTCCCTTATCTGAAGTGTGAGGAGACGTAGGGGACCCCGGTGCTTGTCCACATGGCTGTTCGAGGAGTGGCAGGCAGCTGAGTCAGCAGCCACAGGGTAGGCACAGAGCTCACAGGGCTGACCAAGTTGTTGATTGTGGATTGAAGGCAAAGAATAGAACGCAACACTCGCGATTCTAACTGGATGGTCTGAAGCACCTGCGAGGTGGTGGTGATGATGGTGGTGATGACAGTGATGAGGATGGTGGTGATGATGGTGGTGATGATGGTGATGAGGATGGTGGTGATGATGGTGATGAGGATGGTGGTGATGATGGTGGTGGTGAGGATGGGGGTGATGAGGATGATGGTGATGAAGATGATGGTGATGATGATGATGGTGGTGATGATGATTATGATAATGATGATAAATTGATGATTATGATATAATAATGATGTTGACAATGATTATGATGGAAGAAATAACCTGGCTGACCACAGCCTGAGTCCTGAAAACTATTCTGTCATTGATTAGCTTCTAGTTGTACCGAGCGTCCAGTTGTTGGCAGGTGTACTGCAGGAGCGCCAACACTGGGAGTGCCACACTGCTCTTTGCCAGTAAGAAACACTTGGATCTGAGCTGCTCTGCTCCTCGTGGCTGCTGGCCAGGCAGATACCTTTCCACTGCCTGGGAAGGGGAATTGGGCTATATCCTCACTTGACCTACAGCAGGTGCTGCGCCAGGTGCTGGGGATGCCATGCTGAATAATTCACAGCCCGGTTCTCAGGAAGCTTGGGGTTTACTGTGGGGTGTGGGGCGGACACTTAAAGCAGATATTTAAGAGAGGGTCTTAGGGTGACTCAGAGACAAGTCTCCGACCAAGCACAGGGGAAGGAGGGGCTGTTGGGAAATGCTTCTCAGGAGAGGGAAAGTCTGAGTGAAATGCTGGGGACTGTGTAGGACTGTGCCAGCGGAGCCCAGGCACCAAGGGACACTGGACTCCTCCGAGCTCTGCAAGCCTGTGGTGCCACAGGAGGACAGTGGCTTCCCAGGCAGTGGTGTGTGGGGGGTGGTGGGAGGAGGCAGAGAGCAGCCAGATTGCACTGAGCTCCTTGGGTTCATCCTGAGCACGTGGAGCCATTGCCATGGAAAGGTTTGGTTTGTTTGCTTGTTTTGTTTGGCTTGGTTTACCATTTTAACCACCTTTCAGTGTATAATTCAGTGGCATTAAACACTTTACAAGGTTGTGTAATCATCACCATTAATCATTTCCAGAACTTTTTTATTTTTATCTTCACCCAAGGATATGTTTATTGATTTAGAGAGAGGAAGGGGGAGAGAGAGACAGAGAAATATCGATGTGAGAGAGAACCATACAAGGTTTGTCCTTTGGTATCTGGCTTATTTCACTTAGCATGTCTTCAAGGTTCATCCATGATCTATGTTGTAGATTATATCAGAATTTCATTCCTTTTTAAGGCTGAAAAACATTCCATTGTGTGTATATACCACACTTTGCTTATTGATTCACCTGTTGAGGGACACTGGGGCTGTCCCTTCTGGCTGCTGTGAATAGAGCTGCTGTGCCTTCAAAGTGCTTTGAGTAAGTGGGAAATTGCTTCCCTTTAGGAGACTTCTCTTAGAGCTGGAGGAGAATGAATGGAGAGGGACAATGCTGGGGGCAGAGAGAGCGATGAGGAGACTATTCAGTAACACAAATTAAGGAAAGAAGGCGACCATTGAGACCAGTGCCATGGACCTGCTAGCAATTCTCAGGCCATATAACCACTCCAAGTCTGCCCAGCCTTGCTGGGACCCTAGGCCTTGATCAGAGGGAGGGTGGGGGTGGCATTGCTGGGGCAGAGCTGACGCTAGGTCAGCATCGTCACCATCCCTGGGAGGAAGCGGCACCACCTGCCACTTCTCCCTCCTTCCTGTTCCGCACAGTCCACGACCCATCGCCTCGAGCAGGTGCCTCCCCGTGCACGAGACGCTGCTCTGCCACCTTCCCCTTTGCCTGCCCAGTCCGTCCTCCCGGGAGCCCTTCCGGACTCCCGCTTAGGCTCGGTCCCCCTCTGTATGGCTCCTGCTGCCTGAGCGTCTCTGTGACTTTTACAGCATTTACCGTGACTTCCCAGCGGCACATAATTGCTCCTCCTGCCAAGCCTGTCTCCCTCCCAAGACTGTCAGCGCCGGGAGGATGGGGGCAGGCGTGCCTTGCTCTCCGCGGCCCCCAGCACCCAACACAGCTGTCTTACAATAACTGCTGCCTAATTACAGGGCAGGGGATGAGCAGGTGAATGGGGGACCCACAGGCTCGTCCATTTCCCTCCCTGCCTCCCTTCTTCCCTCCCCCCTCTTGTGTTTCTTGTCCTTTGATCTGGGTTTTCTTCAATCTCTCCCTCTGTAGGGGTCCCTGCGTCCTTCTTGTGGGGGATCTGACCCCAAATATCTCTTAGTTTCTGGGACTGAAACAGACATCCTAACTTTGAGTTGATCCTGGAGGTATTTCCCCAGGCCCCCTCAGAAACCAGACTCTCAGTGGGACCCAGAAGGCACCAGAAACACCTTCTAGTAGGCACAGAAGGCCTAATTTTCTTTTTGAAATTCTGGAGAGCTTGGGTGTTTGGGGAATTTCGAAAGCGAATCTGTCCTAACAAATGGCAGTGTCTGTAAAAATAAACCCACCATCTGCTTCAGTCATTTAGGAGCAGCTTTTACAACTGCTCCCAGCAGCCTTCAGGATGCACGTGAAATTATGTGGAATTCAGGGAACTAAAATACTTCAATATATTAGCAGTTCTTAAACATGCTCTTTCCCAGCAGATGTTTGGGGAATGAATGCAAGCTGGTGATATATTCTTGATTAAAATCTTATCTTTCTGCAAATCTTGAGGCCAGAGCTGTTGAACTGGCAAGCGAGAGACTCCAGTGATAATTAATCACTTACATTTATTTGTTTAATGTGTTTGGGGCCATATAGAACTTTCAGTATTATCTCAGAGATTCATCACATTGACTCACAAGGAGTGTTTTTAAATAGCCATTTAGAGATAAGAAATCCAAGGCTCAGAGATGTTAGTTATCTACTAAAGAACACACAGCAAAGAAGGGGCTGCATTAGGGATTAGAACCTGTAGCCAAATTCTGTGTTTTCCCATTCGATGAGGCTGCTTCTCCAGGAGCTTGGGACTCTTTTGGGGTGTCAATGTGTAAGATAAAGAAGCCAGGTGTAGGGTTAAACAAGACTGCATTAAGGTCCTGGCCTGGGGTGAAACCCTTTATCCTGTATTCTTCATTGATAAAATAGGTATGGTTAATTCTGTCCCCTGAGGGCTCGAGACGTCGTCATCATATAAGTTTGTAGAATGCCCTGCACCCCATAGAACTCAAGAAATCTCAGTTTCCCCCGTTCTATGCCAAACAGAGGCAATTGCAAACAGGAGGTGTGGAGGATTCCCCTAGCCGGGGGCCAGGTTGGGGAAGAGGGGCGACATGTTGCAAACCTGCATTTGGTGGCTTTGACACCCTGGCCAGTTCTAAGAGAAGACCGAGGAAGTCATTTCCTCTGTGCTATGATTTATGGGACCCAGAAGATATTTCCATCGCCCCAATTCTGCATTCCTCTGAGTGAGTGCCAGGCCTCAGGACTTGGCCTCGAGCTGAAGTTTCCTGTCTCCCTTCCTGCTCCATTCCTCCCCGAACAAACCCTCCGCTCCAGGCTCCCTGGGCATCCCCGTTCCTGGAAGATGCCATGCCTTCCTCCAGGTCTTCCCATCACTGCTGTGTGGCCAGCATGTCCACCTCTCCATCTGCAGAGTCACTCCCTTCTCTAGGGCTCTGCGGAGCAGGGCTTCATGGCTTTCCCCACCCCTTAAAACCAAAAGAATCTCGCCTTGATGCAAAGACTTCTATTTAGCAGTTTTTGGGAATCCTGTCTTGTCCTGGATGCTTGTTATTTTTCTAATATATCTTATTCCAATTCTGCTATGCCTGGGTGCTTGACTGAGTCCATGTGTTTATCCCCTCGATGCTTCCTTAATACTCTTCTGTCTACTTACCTATTTATCTTAGCTTAATCTACAAGTTTATGAAAGCTGTGTTAAAATCTCCAAATAAAATTGTTGATTTATCTATTTGTCCCTATATAACAGTTGCTTAATATATTTTGATACTTACATTAGATTGATTTTGGTTCAATCATGTCTTCTTCATGTATTGTTCCTTTTGTAAATTTCTTTGCTCTTAGGCAAAAATTTATTTTCACCTAAATTTCATTGTGCCTCAAAATTCAACAGGATTTCCTGTTGCTCATTTTTATATGAAAACATTCCCACCGCTTTACTTTCAAACTCAGCATCGTTTTAACTACATGTCAGGTAGACAATAGAATGTGGGAGTTTTGAAGATCCATTCTCTACACAGCAGCCGATGTGCGTTTAAACATATAAACGAGGTGACATCAGTCCCCTACTTAGATCCTTCCAGTGGTTTCCCATTTCTCCTAGAATAGACCCTAAACCCTTCTCGACCCATCCAGGCCCTGCAGGACCTGCCCTGCCTCCCTCCAGACAGCCCCTCACCCTTCACTCAGCCCCAGGACCCTGGCCTCAGATCCTCACATGCAGCCTTACTCCTGCCTGCAGGAGTCACCTCGCTCTCCCCAGGGCCTCCAGTATTCTTCCTGGGCCTTTGTGTGGCTGTTTGCTTCTCACCTTTTGGGCCTCATCTCAAATGCCCCCCCGAGAGGCTTTTCCTAAGCACTGGATTAAACAACTCCCCTGCTGCTCACTCTCTAATCCAGCGGCCTGAGCTGCTTTCTGCACAGAAAGTCTCCTTGTTTATATATGACATCAAGCTCCATGACAGCGGAGACCTCGTCTGGTTTTCCCTGCAACAGCCCCAGCACCTGGAGCAGTGTCTGGAGTTTAATAGGTGCCCCAAAAATATTTGTAGAAAGAAATTCTTGGGAGAACAAACTGCAGAGGTACTGCAAGTAATGTGGGGAGGAGTCCGGGTGAGACAGAATGTTCATAACAATCGCTCAGAAGTTTTCTGTTCCCATCCTTCATGTGCACCTGTAAGTGCGATAAGACACCATCAAAGTCACAGAGTCTGGTGTGCTTATGGCTGTCCCTCAAGAAGAAGCTGAGCGACCGAGCAGGGAGGTTTCCCTGGGTGTTTCTTGTCTCCATCTCTTTCCAGTTGCACTTTGATTTGAGAATTTGAGACCCACGGCAGCTCCTGCACGAGCCACCCACCCAGCTGGCCCAGGAGCTCTCCTTCCACTCCAGGGGTTAAATATGTATTACGTTTATTTTAATCAGGAATAAATACATGATTTAGCAAAATGTAATGCTTCCCACTTAGAAATCCCTCCGAGTCCTCCCCACACATTCCAACCACATGAGTCACAACGGAAAATAACATATAAGACCCTGTACAAACATCTGGCATGTGCCAGGTCACCCTGCCTTATGTCGGACGGCTGTGTCCACGGTGTTGCAGTCATTTCCCAGACATCGCCGGTCCCTTTGAAGGGATTGGTTGGTCGCTTTGAAGCCTTTGGGATTGTGGAGGAAACCACAAATGTCTTCTTGTATAAACACTCTAAGCTCTGATGATATAGAAAATCATGTAAACGCGTCTACCATACCTCGAGCACAGTGACCGCAAGTGTACAGAATGCGTATGGTGGACAGACAGACTTCTCATACAGGGCAGCAAAGATACCACATCACATGCCCCTGTCCTTCCCCTGAGTCCTTCTGCAACAGGGGAAAATAGGTCACAGCCCCTCCTAGCAGGGTCCGGGAGGTGTCCTGGAGACACTACCTTCTCCTAACTAGGCCTTGACTGTTTCTCTCTCATCTCTTACAACGATGTAAGACCAAATTAAGCTGCTCTCACTCCCGTCTTTCCTGGAGCTCAGCACTTTTATTCACGTGGATGCCAGACCCTTCTCAGAATAAAATACTAGACAACTGAATGCTTTAGGACTTATCAATTTCCCTTTTTAAAAAAAAAAAATCTAACCATTCTGACCTTCTCAGTCCAGCCAAGCCTTTCACTGTCTAAAAATCCAGCTGAAACCTGAGCTTCTGGGTCTCCCTCACCTGACCCCTGTCCCACCTGAAGCAATGCCCTGATTTTTGCTTTTACACCCCCGTTTCAGTTGCACAATATCTGTTTATACGCTTTCCCCCTGTCTACACTGTAAGCACCTCTGCTGGGGCCTGGGGCTTAGTCATCTTTTTTTTCTTTCTTTCTTTCTTTTTTTTTTTTTGCCTGACAGCTTACACAGGACATAACACAGTGCCCCTCAGGCAGTCATGAGTGAACAGTCGATGTGTTAACATAGGTGAGAATCTGGGCATGGTCTAGGACCGCACTCTGCTGCAAGGCTGTGGCTGGGACGGGTGGAAGCTCACACGGTTCCGGGCCCCACCCTGCTCCCCTCCAGCAGCCTCCCCCCTCCCGTTGGCCTCGCCCCTGCAGAAGTGGGGAGCCATTGACTTCTGCACATGCGGCTTTGGGACCCGCCGGGCAAAGAAAGCTCCCGATTCAGGGCTAATCAGGGGAACCGTTAGTGTCACCGAGTTCCCTTCGAGAGGAGGTGCGTGCCAAAGGCCTCTGTCCGTTGGCTGAGAAAGTTCCGTGCAGGGCACCGAGTGCAAACCCAGACCTCTGGCCAGAACTCGGCTTTCGGCTCCTCTTCTCAGGCGTTTCTCATTCCGAAGTTTACTCCGTGAGCTTGGAGCCTGACCATCTGGACAGTTTGTCGGTGGCTGGTCCCTGTGCCCTTCTTGAGAGAGAGTCTTTCCCACAAACACGGTGAGCACACACGTAACATACAAGCAGGGCTCTTCCGAACCAGTGCCCGGCCGCATCGCGAGCCGACGCTTAGTGCTGTCCCAGGACCGGTCTGACGCCAGGGAGGGTCCCCCAGGACCGGCCTGACACCAGGGAGGGTCCCACAGAACCGGTCTGACGCCAGGGAGGGTCCCTGTGTCATGATGCGGAGACAGAAGACGGGAGTCCGAGTCTCAGTAGCTTCTGTCGGCGCCCGGAAGACGCAGGCTCCCCAGGGACCGTGCCTCCCTTCAAGACCCCGGCAGAAGCTGGGAGCTCTGTCGCTGCTGGGCACCCCGAGGTGTCCGCCCGGGGCTAGTCTTCGAAGTACGGCGGCGAGGAGAAGAAGGCGCTCTTCCTCTTGCTCCCGCTGTACACCAGGGAGATGCTTTTCTTCTTCCGGTCCAGGGGCGCGCTGTCGTCGCTGGTCAGGGACAGGTAGGACGCTATGCTCTCCCGAAGGCCGTAGCTGAAGAGGGACTCATCCACGCCGAGCGGGCTCCCCTCTCCCTCGGGGGCCTCCTGCAGCCTGTGGGCGGGAGGCGAGGGGACGGGGAGGGAACGGGAGGGATGGGGAACAGGAGAACGAGGAGAGGAAGAGCCTGGTTAGAATCGCCCTCATTTATCGCTCTGACGCTGCTTCTCATGCTTGTGGCTGTGCCATCTTAGATAAATCACCCAACGGCTCTGAACCAGCATTCACTTAAATGGCTAAAATGGCTAATTGCACATTTTAATGAATTTTTAAAAAATGATATTTACTAGGAAGAGCAGCTTTATTCATCTCCCAGGCAATCCTGACCTCTGATTTTCTTTGAATTTGCCAATGGGATGTCTGGATCAGTATTTAATTAATAAGACAACCCACCAATCAGCCCCCACTTACACATACCCCTAAAATGCAATAGCTGACACTCAAATAAAACAGATCAGTGGAAGACGTTTTTCCTTAAAAAAACAAACGATACCACCTTAGGATTTTGTCGGTATGTTTAAATTTTCTGAGTGAGTTTAAAATAATATTACATTTATACAAGACTATTTGTGTGTCACTCTTTAGGATCCTAACAGCAAAAGGAAGATGGTATCTTTCAGCTGGCAAATATTCTGCTAATACTGAATGGGGACTCAGGAAAAGTTTGCAGAATGGGGGCCTGGGGGCCCTGGCAGGGTGTTGCTAGGGTTGTGCCGCCCACTGTGTGGGCCTGAGGCTGGGTCTGCCTCCCAGGGGACAGCGGGGTTCCACGGGTCTGTACCCGCTCTGTGTGCCCACCCTCAGGTTCCAGCAGGGCTGGCTGTAACTGGCCATGGTTTTCACATGGCAGGCTCACATGTTCATGGAGGGGACACCCATGCATACCCGTGCACGTGCACACATGCACACGTGCACATGTGCACAACCCACCTGGACATTCTCTTCCAGTCCAGGGTCTTCTGGTGCAAGGAGAGGGGAGAGTCAGAGGCGGCCCTCACCGCCGGGGCCGCTGTGCTCTGGGTGAGGCAGGGCGTGGTCAGCACACAGCACAGGCCATCGGCCACCTCTGTGGAAGGAGGCACACAGCGGGTCAGTGACTCTGAGACGCTGCAGCCAGCATGGGGTGTGGGGCCGGGGGACCGCCCAGCACAGCTCCACCAGCTCTGGCGAAGCTCTTGTGTGCAGGGAGCACCGTGGACAACCGATCTCCCCAAAGTTCACAAAACATCATTTAATACAGCGCGGCGGGCTAGGCATGCGCGTAGGGAGAAAGGGAGACAAGGGAAACCGTGAGAGATGACAAGGAAGGGAGGGGGTGGGACGGAGGGAGAAATAGGGAGGGAAGTAAAGACAGACAAAAATGATGGGAGGCACCAAAAACGAAGGCGAAAAGCAGAGGTTCGAGGCAAAAGAGAGAAAGTGGACAAAGAAAAAAGCAAAACAAAAACAAAACCCACTCTTTACTCTAGACACTCCTACATGAGAGTGAAGGGTAAAGAAATCCCTCAGCCGGCAGCGAGGGGCCCTCGTCTCTCAGGAGCGTTAAGGTACAGCCTCCAGCTCCCGGAGGCCTCCTCCTGGCCAAGCTGTGGCGAGGAGGGTTGACTCTGGCTGTGCTCAGACAATCTGGTAGATGGAGGGAATTCGCTTGAAGACCCCAGTGCTGTCATGTCACAGGGGGCGATGGAGTGGGCGATGGAGTGGCTGCTGGCCTCCAGCTGCACGGAGCCACCGGCTCGAGCGAACCCAGCGCCAGGTTTTAGGAAGCACGGTACACCCATGGGTGTCTCCACCTCCTGTCTTATTTATGGAGCTCTGGGGGTATCCTTACCAAAGAACAAAAGGAAACTGTAGCTGACGAAGAAAACCCAGGCTATCGGAGTGTGGTGGCCAATGACGCCTGCAGCCAGCCTTCGGTCTGCCCTTCACCATGAACTGAGTGTCCACCCCACTGTCCCACCCCCAGAAATGTGAGGTCAGAGGGAGCTTAACTGCATGTGAGTCTGAAATAATTACCTGTCATGGGTTGGAAATGGAAAAGGCTGCCCAGGTTAGTGGGGAGGGACCGAGTCAGACACAAAGACTGAAGAGCTCAGCGGCAGGAGACAGCCCAGGCGGGGACTGTGTGACAGTCCTTCTTTAGAAAGGTTAACACTTAGGATGAAGAGGAAGGTTTGGCAATGAGAAAAGGAACTAACACTTGTGAGCGCGGGACATGGGCCCCGGTGCTGAACGAGGCCACATCGCTGAGACGTCAGGAATGTTGGACCCATTTTTGGAATGAGACAGGGTCCTGGGGTCAAGTCACTTGCTCAAGGCCACAGAAATGTGACCAAAGCTGTCTTATGGACTCAGAACCAGGCATTTGTTCTAAGAGCAACTCATTGTCTCTGAAATGGAGAAGAGAGAAATCCTACACTGCCTCTGAGGCCTGGACACGCTCGTCTCATTCTCGCCAGCCTGTGGGACTCTCTAGAACACTCATTCCTCCCATACCTTTCAACTCCAACTCTGCATTCAAAGCTCCCCTTTCCCATCCCTTTCTTTCTCTGGCATATTTTAGACTTCACTTGTGTCCCACCCTCTCTGCTCTCTCAGTCACCACCGCGCAGGGAATACTTCAGATGCCCACGTTCCACGCATGATTTTTTGGGTCCTCACAACAATCCTATAAGAGGCATTTAATCACCATTTCATAGATGAAGAAACTGAGGCTTTGAGATGTTAAGTAATTTGCCCTAGGGCCCCGAGGTAATAAATATAAGCAACCTGCACCACAGAGACGTCTGTTCAGACCCTTTTGTGCACAATCGCTCCGATCCTGTCCTTGAGAGAGGACCTGGCGGGAGGTGGAATTGGCCATGTTGTTTCCACTTCCCAGGGGCCTGGGAAGCATTTCAGGGTTTCAGCTCCATTTCAGTTACGGCAGGGCTGAACCGGTGACTGGGTCTGTCTCCTGATGCAGGGCCAGGAGGTAGTTGGGAAGGCCCTGCTCCGGAGGGCACATGGCCCTCAGGCGATGCTGGCGGGGAGCCTCACCGGGCCCTGTCCGTGAGATCCCGCTGGGGTGCATCCTCTCATGTTTGCTTTTGTCTATGCAAAACTTACGGTCTGACGCCTCTCGCACGGTTGTTATTAGAAGCCAACTACCACAACCTTTACTCGTAATCGGTACAAGTGGACTATTTCCAGGACTCCCTTCCTCTTTCATTTTTAGCCAGGCTGCTAGGTTTTCAGGTATCACGGAAATAATATTTATTTTGCACCCGCCACATGCCAGGCTGTGATGCCCACATTACATGGACGACGGTGCTCAGTGATCATTACAACCGAGCTGCTTGCATCCACGTTCGGTGAGCGGGGAACTGAGTCCGGGACAGGGGAGGGTTTTGTCTGCAGCCTCACAGAGCCTGCATCCGAGCCTGGGCCTGTGTCTCCCCTGCGCCATGCCTCCGTCATGGCCTCCCCTCTCTCAGGACAGGTGTGACAACCCAGACTCCCCCTTTCCCCTTGAAAGGCCCCTCAAGACCCCACACCCTAAAGGTCCGCAGGGGTGTGAGGTCAGACCTCCTGAACCTGGAAGAGGGAAGACACCAGCGGACTGACAGCGACTCTCTTCCTCCTGCCGGCACCAGGGAGGAAGAGGGAGGCCCTGGCTGGGGAAGGGCAGGAGCCGCAGCTCTGCGCCCGCACTCTGCACGCACCAGCTCCGTGAATCTCACCGCCTCCCCGGGTAGGAACAGTCAGCATCTTCATCACACAGAGAAGAAAAGGGGGCACAGAGCTGGGCACTGGCCCAAGGCTGCCCAGAAGGTCTGGGATATGAACACGGCGGCTCCACACCCAGCTTTTAGAAACGTAACAACCTTTTTTACTATTTTGCCCATTTCCACAGGTAGAATTCCAGCTCCTGACCTGGCGTTCAGGCCTGTCAGTCTAGCTCAGATGTCCTTGTCTAACCCTGCCCTGTCCCATCGCCCCCGTCAAAACCACGCCGTTGCCACCCTCTCGGTGGACGGCCCCGTCCTGGTCAGCGTGGAGCGTCTCGACCTCTCCCCCGTGTCCTGGAAGCCCGTGAATGAAGGGAGCCCAAGCCTTGGTCTGTGAGAGCTCGTTGGGAAACCCAGACCAGAGCACAGCTAACGAGGGTACAAGGCAGAGCGAGGGGCTTTAGGAAAACCGGGCATCTGTCGGAGCAGAGACTCCTGACTCTTCGTCAAGGAGTGGGGCCCGCTGCTGGAAGGCCGAGGAGGACTTTGACGTGCAGAAAAGGGGAAATGAGTGGCATTTCAGAACAAAGCCCCAGAGGCCTGCATATGCACGGTCCACTTGAGGAAGTGGAAGCTGTCTGTGGTTGTGAACACAGGGGTGTCCCGGCTTCTCTAGTTTACAGGAAGAGACAGGGTGAACTTGAGATTAGCTGCGTTTACTTACTTAGGCTGCATTTGCAAGCTACCCGTTTTAGCCTGAAATTTACAGTCTAAATGAACAGGAAAAGAGCACATGGAGAGGACAGGGTGGGCAGAGAGTGAAGTAAATCTCTGGCATATATTAATGACCCATGAGCATCCCAGACAGAGGGCACCACAGGGCAGGATCAGTCCTGATGGGGTGCTTCTTACCAGAATAGTGATTGACCAGGTCCTCCAGGCACTGGAAGGTGAGCCTTGGCGAGATGTAGTACCAGTTGTTCGGCAGGCGAAAGATGCGGTAATGCTTGACCTGCCGGTGTCTCACCGAGAGAGAGTAGAAGCCTGCAGGCACAGAGGACAAGTCAGTGGCATCCCATGTGTCCCCACCCAAAGGCAGCTGGTTAAGGAGACCACCACCACCGAGGCAGAGAGATTTTCTCAGCCTTGTGTCACATGATGACACCCAGACATCCACTCCCGTGTTTGGAACAACAGCCACGAGAACCCCATCTGTGTGGATGTGGCGCACTCTTTAGCACCCATGGGCACGCAGTATTTCAGCAGCCACGTTGCAGTAACCGTATTGCAATGCAGGCTTTTAGGTGCTCGGCTTTGCTCTGTGAAGTGTTCATGGGGAGCTCCCACATGCTTTCCTGGGTCCTTAGGCTGAGCTAAGTGGTTAGAGTTGGGTTGCAGCCCCAGGTCAGGACCTGGGTCACCCGTGGGTTCTGCCCGAGTACAGTCGCAAAGGTGTCCGTGCTGCCATTCAGTCCCTTTCCCACCAATGCCACCACACCTTTGCGAAGCCTCAGAGTTATGCCCGTTTTCTTGCCCCAACTCCCTCTCACTGAGGCTTGGTGTTCTCAGAAGTTTGGAAAAGGTGGCAGTTAAGACATTTTTCTGGGTCTCCCTAAGAAAACATGGAAAATGTGTCATTTCTCCTTAAGCACCATTATAGTAAAGGCCCACTATGGGTTAGTAAGGGCAGAACTTTGGGCAAGTACCCACTCCTCTCCCAGCCTTCATTTGCCCACGTGGGAAGTTAGAGAATTAGACTCAAGGCATGTGTAAGAGTCCTTTCTGCGCTGTGTTCTGGAGGCCCAGGGGCGAAAGGGTTACGGGGCAGAGAGAGGGGAGGGCACTCGATTTTACCAAGTCTTTTTTTTTTTTTTTTTTTTTAT